TGAATATGAAGTGATCCCTTTCCAGACTATAAAGAAACATGCCACAAAACCTTTTCAGGTCTACTATATTAATGGAAATCACTTCAAGATTATTATTAGTGTTAGTTCAGTAGGAAGATAAAGAAGCAGCTTATTCTGGATGTTATGCATTTGATTTGAATTACTTAAAAGTTAAAAACCTTGGAAAATCTTCATCTTGCCATTCTTCCTTAAACTCAACACCTTCCATTCTCCAGACAACTTGAATTGCTAATAGAGACTCCTGATCAGCCAGAACCTCTCGCTTTCAGGACAGTGGGCTAAAGGGTAGCTGCAGGAACATAACAGAAGATGCTAGTTCAGTACTATTGTAATTCCCATACTTGTGACACATCCTTTCACTTATAACTAAGTTGAGGTATTATGCAGAAAAAAAAAAAAACAAGGAAAAGTTTATAATTACCCTTTTGGTGGTGGTTTTTTTTTTTTTCCTCTTTTCCATACAGAACTGCTTATGGAACAGTTTATCATACGATTTAGGTTGTACATACAAATCAGGGCATACAATGCCCTGCTCAAGCAGGATCAACTTCTCAGTTAAAATCAAGGCCCTGAGCAACCTGTTCTATCATTTAGGACTACACCAGTTCAAACTAAGAAACCTAACAGCTCTCTAGATTCCATAAGAGATATTGAATAAGTGTATATTTTGAGGAAAAAAATTCCAGATGGTCAGATCCAAAATACAACCCAGTTCTTAAAAAAAAAAAAAAACACACACCACAAAAACAAAACCCACACACTTTAAAGATAACTATTTCAGAAAACATTTTCAGAGAGCTCACCCTGTGATGTGCAAGTCAAGCTGTGTTTTTTCAGGCTCACCCATCACCAGCAACAAGGAATCCCCGATAATGGAATACAATAAACCATTCTGCTGACATACAAGTCCAAGCCAGTTGAAGCTCTTGTCTGCGTTGGCTCTAAAGATTGGCAGGAACAGGTAAGCTTATCAATAAAGGTGTTAGGAAAACCAACACTAATCAAAACAGGAAAAAATGGTATTCTTTAACGTAAAGAAGCAAACACAGAACACCAATAAGTACAAAGTTTGAATGTAATCATATTGCTAATTAACCCAGAGAGACAATTTATTTTTTACATGGCTAAACAATTTACACTTACTGTTTTGTAGCATTACCTTTCACAACAATTATCAATTTCTCTTCTCCTGACCTGATTTTAAAATGTCCTGCAATGCTTAACACTACACAAGCTGATTAAAATAAAGAAAAAGACTTGATATTTTTTGTAAAACTGCAGTACCAGAGACAAATTAAACACTAATGACCAAAATTTAAGATCATTTTACTGACTTCCCTCACCCAGGAAATTGAAATAAAGTTTTAGAGGGTAGCAACTTGGTTCCTCTTAAGGGTCAGGCTCTAATCGTTTGAATCATTCAGCCCCTGCACCACTCAGTCACTGGCAGTATGTGCCTGTGTACACAATCTCCAAGACACTACCCCCAGCAATTGTCCTCCCAGCTCTTCCTCTCTCTGTTTGTTCTTTTTGACTAAGTTGCTATTTGGAGTAGTTTCTTACTGCTTGAATCATGTGACTTCCCTCATGAAACATCCTCTCTTTCATTAAGATGTTAATTTTCTCAGCATACAGTTTCTCCTGGGTACTAACCTGCTGAGTGTTCGCAACAATAAATTTTAAAGATTTGTGTGAAGATAAGACCATATTTTGATCAGTAGTAACAGTGAATATGTGCATAGTTCTTTATGCATTTGTTTCATCTCAGTGAGACAAAGCACAAGAAGTTTCACAAGGTACCCTATGCAGTCAAGGCAATACAGTGGTCACAATCACTATGGAATGGACCATCTGACACAAATACACAGTTCACTGAAACAGACACTAAACCTGAAAGAAAATCTAAACTGATTACTTTATTCTTAAGGGGCAGATGAAGAAATGAAGAAAACTGACTGTAAAAAACCACCACCACCACAAGCCAACCCTACTCCTGTGCTGGTGGCTGCAAGTTATATATACTCCTGAGCTTGCCTGCACTGCGTGCGCAATACAGTCCCCACAAGACAGGGTTTTGCTCCAAGACTAGGACAGTTTTCTCACCACACTTCTGAAGAAAACCAAACACCAAGTAACATCTATTAATTTCAGATGTACAGCATTTCAGTACAGCATCAATTCCTACCTGCATATATTTCATTACATCAAGATAAACTTCATACACTAAGACAGGCACAGAGTTTGAAAGTTACTGATGCTGTAAATCAAAGTTTAAGACACGTACAAAACACTTCTCACATTACTTGCAGAATTCTCATCAGCAACTTCTCATTTAGGTACATTTGAAAGCAATCATTCGCTAAATACCACATAATACAACTGCAAACAAGTTATAAGGCAAGTTCCAAGTTCAACACCAGATAAGCTTGAGTTTAGGTTTTCAGCAGCCGACTTAAGATGCAGACTGAGTAGTTGTTTTGGATGTTTCAGCTTAAAGTCTCATGTACAGAAGGACTATCATTTGTCAACAAGAAAAATGAGAAATTAAGGAGGAAGGGTAATCTTCTCAGGAAAGTTAGAAAACCGCTGACTTTAAAGTTAACTACTGAATTTTACATCACTAATATGAATGCTTACAAAGCAGGGAAAAAAATCTACTATTTCTGCTTATACAAACTAAAGCAGAGTTTAGAATAGTGCTGCCAGAGCATGCAGGGAAGCAACTAGAAAGGCCAATGCCCACCTGGAACTGAGTCTGGTGAAGGATATCAAGGATAACAAGGGCTTCTTCAAGTATATCAACAGCAAACGGAAGCAGTGAGACCACTGCTGAATGAAATGGGCGCCCTGGTGACAGAAGATACAGAGAAGGTGGAGTTACTGAATGCCTTCTTTGCTTCAGTCTTCACTGCCAAGGCTGGCCCTCAGGCTCCCCATTCCTGGCAGGTAAGCAAGCAAGCTTGGAAAAAGGATGACCTTCCCTTGGTTGAGGTGGATTAGTTTAGGGATCTTTTAAGTAAGCTGGACATCCACAAATCCATGGGTCCCAATGGAATGTACCCGTGAGTGCTGAAGGAACTGGCAGACAACATTGCTGAGGCACTCTCCATAGTCCTGGAGAACAGGAGAGGTGCTTGAGGACCGGAAGATAGCCCTTGTCAATCCAGTCTTCAAAAAGGGCAAGAAGGAGGATCCAGGGAACTACAGTCTCACCTCCATCCCTGGAAAGGTGATGGAACAACTCATTCTGGGTGTCCTCTCTAAGCAAGTAGATGAAAAGCTGTCTCCCAAAACATCCTCATAGGGAAGCTCAGGAAGTGTGGCTTGGATGAATGGACAGTGAGGTGGATTGGGAACTGGCTGAATGGCAGGGCTCAGAGGGTTCTGATCAGTGGGGCAGAGTCCAGCTGGAGGCTGGTAGCTAGTCGAGTTCCCCAGGGCTCAGTACTTGGCCCGGTCTTGTTCAACTTATTCATCAATGACCTGGACAAGGGGACAGAGTGTAACATCAGCAAGTTCTCTGACAACACAAAATCGGGAGGAGTGGCTGATACGCTGGAAGGCTGTGCTGCCATTCAGTGGGATCTGGAAAGCCTGGAAAGTTGGACAGAGAGGAACCTGATGAAGTTCAACAAGGGCAAGTGTCAAGTGCTGCACCTGGGGAGGTTGAACCCCATGCACCAGTACAGGCTGGGGGCTGACCTGCTGGAAAGCAGCTCTGCCAAGAGGGACCTGGGAGTCCTGGTGGATGACAAGCTGATCATGAGCCAACAGTGTGCCCTTGTTGCCAAGAAGGCCAATGGTATCCTGGGGTGCATTAAGAGGAGTGTGGCCAGCAGGTCGAGGGAAGTTCTCCTCCCCTTCTACTCTGCCCTGGTGAGACCCCACCTGGAGTAGTGTGTCCAGTTCTGGGGCCCTGGTTCAAGGAAGATGAGGAATTCCTAGGGAGAGTTCAGAGGAGAGCAACAAGGATGACTAGGGGACTGGATCATCTCCCCTATGAGGAAAGGCTGAGAGAGTTGGGCTTGTCTAGCCTGAAGAAGAGAAGACTGAGAGGGGACCTCATCAACACGTGCAAATATCTTAAGGGTGGATGTCACAAGGACAGAGCCAGACTCTTCTCAGCGGTGCCCAGCGACAGGACAAGAGGCAATGGGCACAAATTAAAACATAAGAGGTTTCAGTTGAATCTGAGGAAGAACTTCTTTACTTTGAGGGTGACAGAGCACTGGAACAGGCTGCCCAGGGGGGTTGTGGAGTCTCCTTCTCTGGAGATATTCAGAGCCCACCTGGATGATGTCCTGTGCAACACGCTCTAGGTGAACCTGCTTTAGCAGGAGGGTTGGACTGGATGATCTCCCAAGGTCCCTTCCAACCCTTGCCATTCTGTGATTCCTACAGCTGCTGTGGTAGTGCTGACATCTGGTTTTACTATGCCAAACTCTCTTTTTGATTCAGCTGTAAATCACAGATCTAAAAAGCTTAACTTAAAAATGTAATATATTGTAATAATCCAAGTATTTATTACTCACATAGAAGAAAAGCAATTAATTTCTACCTGATCCTCGCACTCTTCATGGCCAACTCAAAATGACGTGGTTTCTGAGAACAGCAAGCCTGATCATTTTTACTCTCCATTGCTCATGACTTTCCATTTTACTTGAAGAAATGGCATGGGAAGACTTGGAGCTATCCAAAAGTTAGAAACTTCAACATATCATAAAAAATGGATGCAAGACTGCCATCTTCTCTTACTGGAACCACTGGACTTTGGTGCTCAACAATACCTTTCATACTTTTAAGTATCTCAACAGGCAAGTTACAATATTACAAAAAGAAAAAAAAAAGTACCACAAGGAAATACATCACTGAAACCCCCTACTCTTCCATAGCAGGTAATGGATTTCCATTTCCAGAACACCAGGTTAAACCTACTTAAGTTTACATCTGAAGAGCATTACTACCTGTGCCAGAAGTCAAACATCAGTGTTCTCATCCTTTTTCCTGGAAGAAGAGATAATATCAGAGTTCTCTCATTAATACAGAGCTGGCTTAGTTGGTAGGTGCTGGAATACCAAATACAACAGAGTTGAGAAGCCTATTATAAATCACCATTTTTAAAAACTTAGTTTACAACTAGACAGAAACCCTGATCTGTCCAAGATACTTAAGAAAAAAAAAAAGATGGCAGAATGCATGAGTTCATGTTATTCACAAAGTTAAAGACCCCTTGAAAAATTATTTTTTAGGTTTTCACTCTCGAGTTCTCAGAAGAATACACAAATAAATAGGAGTAACACATTTATACGGTCCAATCTACCTATCCAATAAAAAGACCTATATTCAGTCCTTGATCAGCACCTCAGCACCTGAAGTAGAATAAATATAAACTTTATTTTGCAAGATGATTGCAATGATGAGTACGCTATTGAACCATGTACCTGATCAGCAAAGAACAGCATGCTCTTTCAGTCTCAAAGCTGAAATCAACTTCAACAAAAGGTTAGCCTACTTTTTTCTACATTTCACCTTCACCATTTCAACAGAAACATTAACTGAGCATTAGTTAAGTGAATTCCAGGTTCCAGGCATTAAAGAGGTGCTTCTAAGAGTATTTTTCACATTTGATTGTACAGCAAACCAAAAGTAACAGGATATATTTTCTGGTACACACATTCACATAGTGCAGTCATTATAATAATTTCTAAGTGTTTTCATAACCCCATTGGCTTTTAGAATGTGGCTACACTGGCCATGACCCCAGGAAACACTTCCCAGATGCGAATACGAACATCCAAACTTTATCACTTGCAAGCTTGCATAATGAGGTGATGCAAGGACTTTCACAAAAAACAAGTCAACTCTTGTTTCCTTTTACTCCCTTCCCTCAGGATCAAAGCACAGAGAAATCAGGCAGCTAAAAGAGAAAGCTTTCAGAAACACTCTTGCTTTCATCTTTGAGGATACTGCTTTAAACTCCACACTCAGAGCAACAGAAGAACCTGCATTCCTGAATCACTGAGATTCATTTAAAGATAAATACTAACTTGTCAGATGACAGTCAAAAAGAATTCATACGCTGCCTAAATGCAATCAATATTCCTTTGTAAGACTTAAATACACATACAAGTTGACCAGAAATAATCAATTACTAGTTAGTGTATTACATTAGCAGCTGGAAATAAGGAGGAACTAAAAAGAGGCACTAGAAAGGAACTCTTAACTTCTGCGACGTAGCTCCACACGGTGCGTGTGCTAAACCCACATCGGATAAAGTTATTCCGCTCGCACCCCCCACTCATTGCTCAGCCACACAAAACAAAGGGGGGAAAAAAGAGCCTCCGTAGTTGAAGCCAAGCCCCCGGCCTCATTAGTAAAATTAAGGCTGAAGCACGCGCTGCTCTGGTGCGACCACCCCGCCGGGGCAGGGGAAGGAGGTTCCCGCGCTCGGAACTCCTC